TATTCTATTAAAACCTTTTACATATAGGTTTGGATGATTTACTGCAGATCAATAGAGGATTTTCTATCAAGTTTATACTATTCTATACATGTGGGATAAGTTAGATTTGGGTGATAAAGAAATAATCTTCAATTTTGTCTGTGCATGCAATTCATTAATAAGCTGAATAGTGAAGCAAGCTGACCTAGATGAAGTACATCAATAATTAATAAGAATAGCTAAGTTAATAGAGGAGAATTATGGTCCAGAATTAATATTATCAAATATTCACTTGTCTCTTTACTTTAGGCAATGTTGTCTTGATTATAGACCACCTTATGCCTACTGGTGCTTTTCTTTTGAAAGAATGAATGGCTTACTAGGTACATATCCAACAAGCAATCAGTCAATTGAACCTGAGCTTATGCATATTCTAATGAAAAATATACAGGTAGAATATATTATAAATTCTGATATTGATAAAATCGAATTGTTAAGGGAAGTTCTTCTACTTTTAGAAAAAAGAAAAGTACGTGAAAGTTTAAAAATGACAGAAGACTTTGAAAGTGAGGAATTAATAGTATATCTTGAAATAGCAGATAAGATTGATATAGTAGTGGTTATTATGAGAATAGAGAGATATCCCAGAGTTACTTAAATCAAAAATAGAAAATGTAGATCTTTCTAAAAAAGTTTATCAAAATTTGAAAGATTATTATAATATACTTTATAATATTATATTGCCATCAATAAAATGAATAGCTACTAAATATGGAAGATTAAAGATAGGGTCAGAAACTTATAGTTTGAAGATTGCTTTAAGATATGAAAAATGCTCATATATCAGAGCAAAATTTATTGCCTTAAATGATGATACAGAAGATATATATCTAGGGCAAATACAATTCTTTTTACAATATGAATTTAATAATAATATACACCATCTTGCCTATGTTCGATAGTATAAACTATATTATACTTGCAGATTTTATTTATCACTAAAAGATAATAGGCGATATGATATAGAAATCTGAAAAGAAATATTTTATGAAGAATCAAGAGACTGAATAATCTTTGTGTAAAGAATATTAAGCCGATTTATTCTTTCATACTATAAATTTCCACATAGTGATAGTACACAACAAGTATTAGTAGTTATTCCTAAAAATAAGCGATTTAATATATAAATAAAAGCAAAAATTAGTAACATATAGAAGATACATTGTAATTGGGCCTTAAAATATAAATATAATGAATACTGGAATAAGATAGAAAACAAACAACATTTAAAGAGCAAATATTATAGATAGAAAATACTAGGAACGGAGTTTGTACAACATACAATGTAGTGTATAGTTTACAGGACAAGTTAATATGCGTGTGCAATTCCTGGTATTTGATTAGTTCACGTGACTCTATACGTCACATATTGTTATGTATTACCTATTTTTCATATATCATTTCACACCATATACCAGTAGCATAACTATTGCATCTGTATTCATACACATGAATATATATTATATTTAATACATGTGTATGAAAATAAAACTCGGAACACTATTAAATTAGAGATGTTATGGTAAATAGTGATAAAAGGATAATTTTTTAGCATAGATACTGGTGGCCCGATGTGAATTATCACATATGTTCATTAGATTTTGAGGATTTTTCGTAGTATTTTTTATTGGTTTAATGAAATAATAATTACTGATTCTCAGAGATTTGACATTTACAGTGTGAGACAAAAATAATTAGAATTACTTATTACACGATTACAGATAAATAACTATATTAAATCATTTGAAATTTATAGCATAGGTGGACAGATACTAAATGATTTGTTGTAAAATTTCAACGTAAAATTCTTTGTTTATTATATATTTAAAGCAAAATAAACTGCATTTTCCCCTTACTGAAAATCCACCCCACACTATGATTTTAGTTCGGTCTTTGGGAACAGGACGAATTGGATACTCACTCCTGTGCTAATACTTGACTGTATTCCTGAAGAGTTTGAAAGCAGACTCATAAGTAAAAAAAAATTCTATTTCGAGTGAGCCAGGACTCATTTTACTTGAGCTATTTTGTGATTAGCTATTAGCATAAAGGTTTTTAGGGGGAGATATTTAATAAAGTCAATACTACCTGAATGCTTTTTAACAGTGCGATAAGATATGTTATTACCTATATTTTATGGTTTAATAGCCAAAGTTTTTATTGTAATTGAAGAGTCCTTGCGAATTTTCTTTGTAAGTGCCTTAAAAGTGACTTTGCTGATTTTAGTAGGCTATCTATTCCCTCTTGCGTAGTTCATATTTCCACTTTGCTTTTATTTTTTTATATTATAGTATGTGGTGGAGAAAGGTATACTTGTTCAATTACGAAGTTCCTTTGTACTGTATATACCTTTATTCTACAGGTATTCTATGGTTTCTCGTTATGTATGTTTAGTGTATGCTTCACTTCTGCTCATATGGTTCATTCGAAAAGTACAGTATATATGCAAACTATAACGTAAAATATTGTTTTGAAGTCTAAATTTATCTAACAACTTACAGATCAGATATGTGATTTATTTATCAAAATTATACATGATCTAATTCGAATTCAAATTTTTCAGATTATTTTTGTAGGTCGTAGTTGAGGGCTGCCAGATTTAAACTAGCACTTGTTGACTACGTATAATTTTCGTCATATCCCTTGTTGAGTTAAAGTACTATATATGGAATGCCATTCACTAATGCTAATACTAAACGTAATTTGATCTATAGATATTAAGGTACTGTACATATTGATCATTCGAGAATGTTAATTATTTTGTTCTAACCAAATATATATATCTCTATGCTGAATTTCTGGTATTAAGCAAGTATGCGCTATGCCAAATTTCTAGTTGTGAAGTGAGTACGCACTATGCTGAATATGAGTAATTCAAAAAAAACTCAGCCAAAATGATTATTAATAAGTTGAATGTATTCTACTGATTATTATGAATTTGGCTAATTATGTTCTAGTGAGAATTTATAAATTGTTTGTTATTCATATTAATATTTAAATATTGTTCATTAATAAATCTGATTTTTGGTCTTATTGCATTTACTTTAATTTAGAGTATGATAATTCTGAAATGTTGAGTAAAAAAAAAAAAACCTTGTTAATTTGACAATTGATATATTATACGATTAAAATGTTAATTACTAAATTACATTTACTTTATTATCATTGTTGTTTTCTTGATTTAGAACATGATAATTCTGGGATGTTGTGGTAAAAAAAAAAAACATTCTAGTTAATTCGATAATCGATATATTATGCGATTAAAATGATAATGCATAAAATGTTGATTACTAAATTGCATTTACTTTTTTATCATTGTTATTTACTTGATTTAGGGCACGATAATTCTGGAAAGTTGCAGTAAAAAAACAATTTAGTTAATTCGACGATTGATTAATATGCGATTAAAATAGTAATATGTAAAATAGGGATTACTAAATTGCATTTACTTTATTATTATTTAATTTAAGGCATGATAATTCTGGGTTGTTGAGGTAAAAAACAATCTAGTTAATTTGACAATTAATATATCATGCGATTAAATGCTAATGAGTAAAATGTTAATTACTAAATTGTGTTTACTTTATTATTATTTGATTCAAGGCATGATAATTCCAGGATGTTGCAGTAAAAAATAATCTAGTTAATTTGACAATTGATATATCATGCGATTAAATGGTAATGAGTAAAATGTTAATTACTAAATTGCATTTACTTTATTATTATTTGATTCAAGGTATGATAATTCCGGGATGTTGCAGTAAAAAACACAATCTAGTTAATCTGACAATTGATATATTATACTATTAAAATTGTGATGCATAAAATGGTAATTACTAAATTGCAATGTTTTTGTAATTAATTCTATGATTTTATCACGTAGAATAAATTAAGAAATTAATAATAAATGATAATTTAAATATCATACAATCCTTTAAGTTATATAAAATTTATAAGAATAGACAATATAGTTAATTGTTTTTGTATTATAAATTTTGCTACAAAATTGTCTGATTTTAATCTTGTAAAACGAGTTTAAAAATTAAAATAACTTGTGTAAATATTGAATATTATAAAATTTTTCATAACAAATAATTTATTGTATTAATATTACGCCTGTCTTTGTAAATCATGATCTTGATTAGATGTCTTTTGTTTAGGCTATTATACTATACATTGTTTTTGTTTAATAAAATCTTTGATAATGATTTACTTGCCAAATCCTTGTAAACAATCAAATGTTATAAATCTTTATTTGATAATAAATGATATTAAATTATTGTAAAAAAGAAAGTAACATAAAAAATTCAAGCACTAATTTTCTATATAAGAATACACTTTTTGAGGGTCTACTTTTTAAGAGTGCAGGTTGATTTCTTCACTGTAATAAAATTACAATCGTATTCAAGACCTAAGATGGTTTCTCATGTTTCACTTCTTGTTGTCATAATCTCTGTAAAAAACAGCCGCTTGTGTTTAAATAGATTTGCTAAATACAAGCTTACTAAAGAATTGACTCAGACAATCAGATTCAAATATTTCTTTCCTGCTGATTAACTGTCGCAAATATTTGCGAACAGAGATCTGGTTTTTATTTCAGGTAAATTTATTGTTGAGAATTCTGAACTATGTTTTACCATCACATACTCAAGCATTGTTGATAATGAAAACTCTAACCATGAATTTGATTTGAGTAATATTACCGTAACTATTCCTCAAGTATATACTTTGTAACTGTCACCTGTCAACTGAAGAATGTTGGAGATTTTATTCATTTTGGTGCAGAAACAATTCAATATAATTCAGTCACTGGTAACTCTGATATTAAAATGGATATGACAGTTATTTACTCATTAAATTCGTCTAGATTTAAATATTTAGGCCATTTAGATTCTAATGTTAAGTTACATTCCAATTATTTTATATCGGGTCTTTTTAAATTTTCTAAGTCTGGAAAGATAATGATCAAGGCCACTGATATCAATTATCTAAGAACTTCGTCTATCAATATTGGCAGGTTTAAAAGTTCTCACTCTACAATATCAGATGCACCATCAATAATCGATATTATTAATGATGATATTGATTCTACTATAACAAAAGCACCCCAAGATCAGTATAGTTCATTTAAAAAATCCATAGATCCTGTTAATGCCAATGTTGAAGCTGCCCTATCCTATAATAATAAAGAATATCATACTATTGATGCCAACATTAAAGCTAGTCCATCCAATAATAATAAAAAATACGATACTACTATTAAAGATTATCTAAGTGATGAGAAGCAATCTGATCATGAGAATGTTAACAAAAGTGATAATGAAAATGCTACAGATTTATCTTGTGATAAAGAATTTCAAGACATCGATGAACTAGAAGAATCACAATCTAGAAAAAGAAAAAGAGCTCCTAGAAAGGCAACGAAAGGAAAAGGAAAAAAATATTAAAAAAATTTCATAATAATTAATATTATAGATATTAGATACAGTAATTCGTTTATTACGTTATATATTTTTTCTGAATTAATATTGTTGTGATATATGGGAATGTTATAATCACTTGATTAGTTCGACTTATTTTTTATTATATTATCCATCTTATTTATAATACTAATAACTGATTGCAAAATAAATATGCTGTCTTTATAATTGAATTTTTATAAAAATAAATGTGTTTATCGTTATTAGTTAATTCTTAATTGCGATAAAATTTTAATTAGAAATCAAAAAATCTGCTTATAGTACTTTCTAAACAATAATTTCTTAAAGCTTTTCATCTCTTCACTGTTCTAATTTATTATGTATATATGCAACTATTAACTTTGAATTTTTGTATTTTTACACACGAAAATAGGACCAGTTGCACTCCCTGTTATACAAATCCACTTGCTTCAATTTTATAAGATAACTTAAAAGTCTATTAAATAATATTCATTCGATCATGTCATAATTATAGATACTAGGATCCTTCGTATAAATATTAATCTCTCTTGTTTGTTTATTTTTAATTGTTATCTTTAAATTACATAAATCGTAAATAAAATCAGATAGTTTATTTTAAATTTTTAATTACTAAATATACTATATATGCATATAATAAATTTAAATAGTAAACTTTAGTGTAATTGGTTAATTTATTTTTAATAATACTACCCATTCTTCTCAGTAAATCCCAACTGAACCAAAGACATGTTAAACTAAAGTTCAACTATACTAAATCGATTTAGATCAGAATTAGTAGATACTTATTGATAGCATGTATCTAGAACTCTACCAAAATAATAATAGCGAATTTAATTAAAGTTTTTTTATTTATAAATATTAATTATTTAATACTGGAACCAAACTTAGTAAAATAGATTGTGAATAGGTAAGAACCCTTTAGTTGAAACAAGTATTTTACTATACTTTTCCTATTTAATATAATTATATAATTTATCAAATATGGTCTAAAAATGCTATACTTTGAATATTCTAGATAATTCCTTAAAAGTTTCGACTATATTATGCATGAGAATACAAAGAATTATTACTAGTTAACGATAGTTCATTTAATCAGATAAAAATCTACAGTGCTATAAGTTTTCTTGAATCATTATCTGTTATAAAGTATAAAAAGATTGCGCTTTGTGTTAAAAAAAAAAAAGAGAAAAAGTATTCATTTTTTTAATCGTAAATTAGATATTAAATAAATATCTCATTAATTGATACAAAACTCTCTCATAAACACAAACTTTGATTTTATTCTTTAACATATATATTCTTATATTATTTCAAACACACTATGATTAATATAGAAACTAGAGGTGAAGCCAAGAAGAGAAAAAATCGTGAATGGATGGTTTTTCGGTGTAAAGATTCTCAATTATGAAGGTCATATAATGATAATCAAAATGCTATACTGAAGAAAAAGTGAATTGAATCTCGACATGCAAAAGATCATCTTACTAATAGTTTAAACATCCCTTTACGTATTATAGATATGAATAGTGAGTTTGAAAAACTTAATCAATACCATATTGCATGGCCTCAGCCTACCAGAAAAGAAATAGCTAAAAAAGCATTAGCTGAATTTTGAGATATAGTTGATCTTAATGAATTGCATGAGTTACCATGCGCAGTTTGCTCAAAAATTTATAATCACAAAAATTACAAAAAAATTTCAGCATGAACAATTAATCTTTTCTTGATTAAAGCACTGCTTAAACTTACTGATCTATCATTTGAAATCAATTTTGACTATAACCACTCTCACATTACTGCTAGTTGTTTAAACATTCTCCTCGATCATTCTGAGTTCATATACCCACCTAAACATCTTAATGATTCCGATAATTCTCATGATCCCTTTCAGTTACGAATTTGCCATTCTTGTGATAATTATTTACAAAAATGTATAACTACATCATTATCATTAGCCAATGATATGTGGATTGGTTCCACCCAGCATGTTTTTTAGACCTATCAATATCAGAACAACTCCTTCTTTCACCTGAGTACCTGTGCATAAATTTTATACAAATAATGAAAAGAAAACATACTCACCATAAGCTTAAAGGACACGTCATGATATTATCTCAAAATCCGAGTTCTTTAATTAATGTACTGCCCTTACTGATATATAAGCTTTGTGAATATATAAAAGTGGTTTTTGTAGAGAAAGGAACTCCTACTCAGCACCAGCTCAAAAAAATGCTTCAAGTTCAAAAAAGCAAGATAACAATTGCTCTTAAGTAGCTTTTTAACCACAATAAATTATTTAAAAATAAGATTAAACTTGATGAGAATATTTTAAATAATCTACTCGAAGGAGAAATTCCTGAAGCTTTAACAGTAATGACTACAGTTATAGATATTGATTCTCATAAAACAGAGCATTATACTAGCTACACTTGTGATCAACAAGAATCTGATAGCGAAAGTGATGATAGTAAAATTGAAGAACAATCTAATATTAATGAGCATAATTTAAAAAACTTTATAAGTAATAATTTGGTTAATAGCGCAAATGAACTCAGACCTTCTGGGATAATAGATATTGATGACATACTGATTACCAGAAAAGAGCTTACATTGCTCTCTTTTAAAAAACTTGTTGATAACCCGAATTATAATGCTCATGAGCAATTACAATCAAATGTGAATGTGCCTAAATTAAAAGATAGAGCAATATGATCACATATATTAAACGTATCCCACGGCGATAAACCTCTAAACGAATATGAAGACTTAACTCTCTTTCCTGCAGGTTTTCTAGTTCTCTTCCCTTATAGTATTGGTAGTTACGAAGGTCGATTATCTCGAGTCTCATTGAAAAAATATGCTAATTACCTCATGCAGCATAACGATCCAAAGTTTAGACAACATAGGTCGTTTTCTTTTGTTATTTTTAACATTTTACAGTGGCGAGAAGTATCAACAGAATCTTATAACCTAACAAAAAATAATAATTTTAATCGATCAGCAAATTTAATATCATCTTTAAAACCAGAAGATATTGAATTTGCTGTTAAACAAGTTCAAGATAATCAATCGATTAGTAATCCTGCTGTTATTGAATTGCTCAAAAATATCAATTCTGCAGGTTCTAAATTAATAGCATCTCACCAATCATGTTTGCGTATATGCAATGAAATACGTGCTGTTATTATACAAGATAGTACACTTTTATTATTTATAACCATAAATCCTGCTAACCTTCATAGCCCTATTGTTATGATGTACGCTGGAAAAGAGATAGATCTTCAAAACCTTTCTTCAGGAAACTTTCCAAAAGCTTCAGAAAGAGCTCGGCTTGCCTACCTTGACCCTACAGCTGTCACCAAATACTTTCAAGTTATTATCCAAGCAATTATAGACACCTTAATCAGATATAAAAGAAAAAATGATAGTATATTCAGCTCTATAAAAAATTACTATGGCATAGTTGAATATCAGGATTGTAGTACACCACATTGTCACATGCTTGTTTGGCTTCATAGAGCTCACAACCTGTTATTTTTACACCAGAAACTTAAAAATGATAATGAATTTTGCAGACGTCTCCTAAATTTTGTTAGTGATATTGTTCGTGAAGACATTAATTATCTAATAAAGGATGAAATCATTAATGATATCACAATTAAAGCCGAATATGAGGCCCATAAAACAATGCTCTAAAAGCGAATATATCCATCTTTTTTACACATACCTAATCTTAAGTCATCTAACTTTGAAGAAGAGCTTCGTTTAGACCTACTTGCTATTTGTAAATGTACTCTTTTTCATCATTGCACTCGTTTTTGCAAGAAATATAACCATAGTTTACATAAACATTGCTGATTTGACTTTCCGTGAGAACTTGTAGATCAACCTGATATAATTTTTCCTGAACAAGGTATAATAGCTATTCAACATATAAGCGCCTTTATTAATAACTATAACCTTTATATAACAGCTACGTGCAGAGGAAATAATGATATTAAATTTATATCCACTTAGAAACTTGCTCTAACTTACATTTATTATATTATCGATTATATTATTAAATCAGATATTAGCACACATAGCTCTTTTTTAATATGTGCTTCCACTCTAGAAAACTTTTTAACTTGATTACTCGATAAAATTTCGTATGATTTTATACTCAAATCTCATAACCTTGTATCAAAATGTCTTAACAAAATGGCCAGACAAATGGAGCTTACAAGCCCACAAGTTTCTGCTTACTTGTTGGGTATATATGATCATTACACCCCAACCAAATTTGCATCGATCTATCTTCAAACTTTTGAATTTTATATTATGAAAGAATGGGCTAACTTTTATCGATTACTAAATAATACTATTGAAACAGATGTTGAATCGGATGATGGATCCGATACAGAAGAACAAGTTGACCACAACTTAACACGTGAATTCTTTATATTATTTTCTTATAATAGCAAATTAACTGCTATAAACCTCCATATTGATTATCAGTTTCAGGGTAAATCTTTAGTAATATTTGCCTCTATGACTATGTGTCTGTCATTAAGAAAGTCCAGATAAATGCCCATGAGCTTTTTATACTATTGAACTAGAACAACAAGTCACGAGTGGATCGTTTTTATTTCTGCAGTAGTAATAAGGACAATATTCATATTACTGGTGGTATCCACTCTCAATATAAATCACATATTTAGCTATGCAGACAAAAAGGTTCTGAGAGAGTGGTTGTGCTGTACGGTAAAGGACTGTCTAAAAAAGATGATAAGGAAAATACCAAACATTATAGGTTATGCATTCTTATGCTGTTTAAACCCTGGGAAACTGTTCATGACCTTCGTGAAGATTATGACACTTGGGCAGAAGCCTGTCAAGCTTTTTTAAATAGCTCTTCTTTATCTCAGCACTTAAAATCTGTGATATATAATATAGAATTATTACATAGATATTCTGAAGAGACTGAGCTCAATTGAGAACTATGAAAAAACATATTAAAAGAACTAATTCTTGCAAAAGCTTGCCATATAGATCATTGTGTCCCTGGATATGATGCTATTGATGAACTAGATTTTTCTAATGATGATGATAATTTAGCTATGAATAATGCACCTGATAACACTATCCATCGACTTGACCCTGAAGTAGTTATCAGATCTGGCTTAAAAAATGATAAAACTATTGACTTTGCTATAAACTTTTTACGAATTCGAGGTAGATTTTCTATAAAAAAATTTTCTTTATTAGATAATGATAATATAAACTTTACTAAAAACTTTGAATCAGAAGCTATGTGTTCAAGCAGTCTGTATGATAGTGACATATTAAAGATTTGGCAGAATACTATCTCTTCTCAAAAGACTACACTATAAGATGATATTAACCCTATTCTTAAAAAAGATATTAACCTAATGCATTCTCCTATAAATCTTTGCTATAATAATCATGAAAATGCTTACTTAAATATTACTATTATAGAAAATTCAGACCCCTTAGAAATGTTCACATCAGACTTAAACAATAAACAAAAAATAGCTTATTACTTATTCTACAAACATTGTCAAAAAAATAATTAATTATCTAAAAATAAACCTTTTCAATTATTATTTTATTTTACTGGTACGAGTAGAACTGGTAAATTCAGAGTTATTCATGCAATATGTTCATATTTTGAACATACTTTACAAAGTAACACTCTGATAGTTTTAGCGCCTACTGGTATTGTAGCAGTAAATATATGCAGAAGTACTATTCACTCTGCATGCAAGTTCAGTTTTGATGAAAGTCTTAATACTCATTCTAATTTATCAGAAGAAAGTCTGTACCAGCTCCAAGAATACTGGTCTACTATAGAGTATGCTATGATAGATGAAACTTCTATGATTGAACAAAATCTTCTTTTACAATTTCATACTTTTACAAAAAAAATAAAAGCAAGTGATAATTCTACTCTATTTGCTGGAATTAACATCTTATTTGCTAGTGATTTCATGCAATTACTACTAGTTTTAGACAAGGCATTATATATGCCTGAAAAAATTATATATTTTTCACCTCCAGTTGAGAATGAAACTTCGAAAAGCGCGAAGTGAAAATGTAATATTGACCTATTACTGATCAATTCCCGAACTGTTACTAATACAACTAGCAGAACCCTCTGATTAAATGTTAATCATGTCGTCCAGTTAAAAACTTAAATACGTCAAATAGATAAACTTTTTTACGCAAGCATACTCGAAAATATGCATCATAGTAATATTACAGAAATTCAACTAGAGGCCTTACGATCAAGAATTCTTAGTGATAACTTAATTGACTCTGAAGAATGGAGAGATGTCACTTTTCTGGTAACAAAAAATAATCTTCGCGTTCAGCTCAATCTTGAAGCTGTTAAAGAATATGCCTATGATAATAATCAGTTTATTATTTACTCATATGCAATAGACTCTTATAATCGAAAAATTCTTACTGGGAATAATCTTCTAAAGTTTTTATCGGTGTCTGATATTAAAAAAAATACACTATGTGGAATCTTACCTTTATCGATAAATATGAAAGTTGTTTTAACAGTTAATATCTGTACTAATGATATTATGGCTAATGGCTCATTAGGAATTCTTCAACAGATCATATATGACCAAAATTCAATTGACTATTCATCTTCATGTAAAAACAATATAGTGTTAAAAGGTCCTCCTAAATATGTTATTATTGAATTAACTAGTAAAGAACCTAGAACTTATGAAACTCTTCCATCCAATCATATACCTATCTATCCTATCAAACGTGCTTGCGTATACATAATTTGGAAATGTGATGGATCAATGATTCATACAAATTTTCATCGTTTTCAACTTCCTTTAGCATCTGTGTACATGTTTACAGACTTTAAATCCTAAGGACGTACTCTTCAAAAAACAATCATCGACCTATTAGGAAGACATGCAAATAATAGCATATATGTAATGCTTTCTAGAATACAAAAGTTAAACGATTTGCTAATTTTACAACTATTCAATGAAACAATTTTAAATATACGACAATCTTCTGCACTCAGTGCAGAATTCATACATATCAAAGAATATGCACAAAGAACAGCTCTGCTAAAAACTTAACCATATGTTTGATATACTCTTCTTTACTATTTTTTTAATACATCAAGTTGTATTTTACTGCGCCACATTTTGTACATCATGATCATCTAATATTACGTCATTCGCGTAATTCAATTTTTTATATACAGTACCAATTCCAAAATTCTAGAAACAGATACTTTCATATCTTTGTATATATCTTTTATTTTTTTCTTATAATTACGTATTAATTCTTCTGATACATAATCAACTAAAAAAATCTTAACATTGATATAATAATTTAATGTAAATATCATATAATTATTTTTATCTGTCAATAAGTTTAATTCAATAATAAATAAAACTCTGTTTACTACGTATAATATAGCAGCTCATTACACATACTTATTATTTTTATGTGAAATCTATAATTAGCTTTAGTACTAAGTTTCTAATATTTTAATTTCAATTAATATAAACTATTTATGATTACAAAAAAATGTATCTATGATATTACTTGATTTATATTTTTTTTGAAGCAAAGCTAAGGTGAGGCTATGTTTCTATATTTATTGATAATTTAATTAAAAATTTACAGAAGATATTTTTGTATACTATATAATACGAGGTATAATCTAAACTATATGACAAGATTTGGATATTACTTTATTTTACGACCCTTATTCTTAAGTTTTAATTATAAAAACTGTTTAAAACATACGTATAGTTTAACACTCTAGCATGATATAATATAACTAAACTATATTTTTATTACTTAATCTCCTTTATACCTGCCCAAACACTATGTTTTATCTAATAATACTTTTTTTTACAAAGTATACAGTATATGGAAATAAATGGAGCCTCTTTATTAAATGTTTTACCCCATACACGCCCTAAGTATATGTTCAGATTATTAATTCAACTCAGTATAATATTTTTGTTATGATTCAAGGTTTTATATTCTAAAATAAATCATTCTATAATAAATTAATCATTCAAATAAATCTTATAATTCACTTTATGAACTAAAAATAATCTAATCCGAGGATAAACCATATTTTAATTTGTACTAAAGAACATTCCAAAAGAATTTTATTTCTAAAATAATAAATGAGTTTTCGTACAAACAATACAACAAACAAATACTTAATTATGAGTATGAACTGAAGTTATTCCTTAATAACGTAATACAATATTCTTACTTAGCATTCTCTATAAATATATTAAGGCCAAATATTATCTATAATAGCATGCGATTCTCCGTCAGCAAATAATAGCAACTATTACTCCTATTAATTCAATTATAAACATCTACTCGTTCTTTAAGATTCGTAATTGATAAAATATTACTTGTATACTGTAAAACTTTGCTTTTTAAAAATCTTAACTCAAAAGCAATTTGCAGCATAAAACGGTCATCTAGTTTTATAACAAAGAATCTCTTAACTAATATTGCTTTCATACCTTATTCATTTAACTTTGTACCTAGAATGTCTCGCACAACAAAAAATACATGCTATTTCTTACTTCGAACCTGTTTCCAATCACGCTTATCATTTCAAAATAATAAATATGATCACCTTCTCTCTGAATGCTACTATATAGCTTCTTTACAAACTCGCTTGAGGTTTTATCTGATAGATATTAGTAGGTCATTCTCGTCTTTTTTTTTTTTTTTTTCTTTAATATAACAATACTTAAAGCTTATGATTATTCATTAATTTACTACATGAAACTCTGAACAGAAAAAATACATATTAATCGCAATGTGACTTATCACTCTACTATACTTTATCATCAGATATCAGCTAACTTTAAAGTTAACTTTAGCCACGAATCGCATGCATTTTCATATTTTATAAAATTTCACATATCTATCTTCACTCACATTAACTACCTCGATTCGATCTTTTAAAAGTACCTATTTAAAAAAGTATCCACTTAAGAATTGTACTTTTAATATTAGTCTAATTCTATTGTTTTTAATACAATAAAGATTAAAAATACATTATACCTACTTTATATATTATACTTTAATAATGTTTTTGCTTATTATTATTCAAACCAGTTCTATTTCTTAATTTTCATCAACTAAAGATAAGTTAACCCTAACTATCAATCTACTATAATTCGCATACCTTAAGTAAATTTTAGTCTATAATATATTTATTTTATAAAAAAAAACAAAGTCCCTAAAATAATCATATTGCTATTATAATAATATACAAAAATTTAGTCAAATTAAATTATATTTTATATTGTCTTAACATTTTAATTTCATGAGAAAGAAAAATATAACTTATTTATTCAAAACTTACAATATTATTAAATTTAAATATAAAATGGGTATGATTAAGTCATTTCTATGAAGATTTTGCAAATATATTAGCTAATTTAGGTTTGTAATTATTTTTACTCTGTGAATCAAATTTACTCTGATCATAAACTCTATTATCTGATATTGATTATTTTCGTTTCTTATTAATATTTAAAGCTTTATACCATTATGATCACGTGAAATGTGAGGGATAGTTCTGTTCAACTTTTTGGTGCGCTATATTTTTTCCTGCTTTAGAAGATATTATAGTTATCAGTTTTTTACTACTTAGAATAAGATATACATAATTGTGTTACCGTTACTTCATAAAGATACGTCATGGTATAGGAAATTTATGCTATTTATTATTAATATTCATTATGACATTATTCCTTACATAGTAAATTCCTGTTACATAACTTTCATATGAGTATTGTATTTTCTCTTACCCATTATTAGTAATCGAATTATAATTGAAATATATATAAATGAGATTATTCTTATAATAAAAGCATAATAATTGTGAGCTATAATAAGCCTCTAGTAAATAAATTGCTTTCCCATTATTGTAAATTACATTCAATGCAAAATGAACATAACTCTGTTAAAATCTAAATCGCTTATATTAGTCAGTAAGTACGAAAATAGAATTTTCACAGTAAATTGCTATAAAAACTATTATTCTGATACAAACAAACAAAACTCTACCTAAGTCTTTTATACTACACAATGCTCAGCAAGTACGGAATTTGTTTACGACAACTTATAGAAATCTTCATTACTCTGATACTGAACAGATATAATTATCCAAATCGCTTAGTCGGTAAGTACGGGAATAGAATTTTTCACACTAAATCACTATAGAAATCATAATTATTCTGATACAAACTAACATAATCCTATCTAAATCTTCTATGCTATTATAATAGTCAGCAAGTAAAGTAACAGAATTTTTTTCTAGCAACTCATTATAGAAATCATGATCATTTCAACACAGAATGATCATAACTCTGTCTTAAGGATTGCTCTCAAACACTTAAATCATTAGATCAGAAACTAGTTTTTAATTAGTGGAAAATAATCTAGGTGATCAAGTGAGTTTTTCATCGCAATGAAAAATAGATCTGATGTAAAATTTTAATTAGTCAGAATTCGAATAAACTAATCAAAAGAATTTTTATTTTGATAAATAAAATATAGAGGTAAGACCACCTTTTTTCTTCATAGAGTTTACTCTAATTGGCTAAAATTTAAAATCCACAATTAGCTCGATGAAAAAGTATACCTTTTCCCTAGGCCTTAGCTATTTTCTATTTTCAGCACATCATTACAATTTGATCATAATAACCACTTCAATTAATGACAATGATCGAGCAACATTTTGATCATTTTCAAATCACATAGAGAGAGCTACTTAAAGATGCTACTTGAGGTACTCTTAATATTCGTATTTCGCACCATGAATCATCTGTATAATTGCTATAAGGATTATTTACGATACTTGTGCACGATCTAAATCACATTGAGAGAGTTGCTTAAGAACACCCTAAAGGTGATTTCAAGCAGCTTTCTCAATATAATTAGCTAGTGATTGAGGTATTGCTCAATTCATTACAATTAATTGAGTAGTTAATGAGGTTAATAAAAGAACGACTTGCTAAGAATCTATAGTGTAAAATGTGGGTTCTAAATTTTATCTAATCAGAGAAACTCTGTAAAAAAAAGCACCTCTGTATTTTGTTGATCAAATAGTAACTCACTTGGTAGTTTATTCAATTTTTAACTAATTAGAATCTGCTTCTGATCTATTGATTAAAGTGCTTAAAAACCCTAAATCGATTATGATAATTAATAAGTATAGGAATAGAATTTAAAATTACCTGTCAAACATGATCATACTGGTCCTGTGTGGCATTGCATATCACGCAGCTATCCTAATTTATTGTTGATTTACATAAAGAACATATGGGCTAGAAGCTAAAAAAAGGGCCGAAAATGACAATTTTTTCAAATGAGTTTTTTTTATATCAATCAATTTAAAATTAAATTAGAATCATTTTTTACTTAAGATACAAAAGTAGTTATATTAAAAATTTTGCAGAATAGTTCTTTAAAGTTTGCATTTTCCTATGATTTATTATAAAATTTATAATATAAAAATTGATTTTCTGAAGATCTTTTTTTTTGTCTTTTTCAACCCTTTCTCCAGTACCTAGCCCATATATCCAAATGCTCCTGTAATCTTGTTACATTTCTTGCCACTTTATTACCGCATACTTTACATTTATAATGTTCTTTTCCACATTTCAACTTTCTTTTTTTTTAATTTTTTTTAGTTCAGTAGTATGTTATAAAATTTTTAATTTGATTTTGTATTATTTTATATTTTAAAAAATATGCTTTATATAACAAAAAAAATTGAACGAATGAATATTTATGTATTCGACTTCTTATAATCAAAATTATGAATAAAAAATTTAATTAACTTTACATATGATTAAAATTATATTTCTGTGTATCAAAGTTTTTTTTTTATTATTTAATATATTAAAAAAATTTATATAACGAATTACTTAAGCAAATAAAGAGTTTTAAACTTTAATTTGAATTATAATTATTATTATTGTTAAGATTAGAGGTTGAAATCGCTACTTTAAAGAATTACTGATTTTTATTAATATTAAAACTTTATATAAAATATGAGCTTATTCAAATTAGTTTT